TCTGTGTATTGGATCCAACGACTATAACTTGTTTAAACAACAAAATGTCTCATTGGAAGAAAATGCATTTTGAATGCATTGACACATCTTCTTCAGACTAAACCTAAATTGTTTCATATAGAAATACAAGTCGAATAATCTTAATTGGTATTTAGTTGATGTTTTGCTATTGGAGTGCGCCCTTTCAGTTGGAGATACTGATGACAGCCCGGTAGGCATGACTTGTGTTCAGTTTCTTCAACAGAGAATACCTAGTCACTTTGATGCCTGTAGAAATATTCTACCTGGTTGTGTAGTCAGTTCAATGCAGCATGCAACCATGGAAAGTATTGTACTTAATACATCCAAACTGTTAACGGTGTACCATGCATCCTTCGTAGTTAAGACTCGGAACTTTTTAGTCACCCCTGGTAGGCGTCATCTAAAGTTAGGGTTGGGTGGTAACGATGTGACACCCGATTGCTTGTGTGCCATCGTACTACAAATATTGATCACTCATCTGATGATATAACTGTAATATTGCCGGCAGAACCGTCAAATAACATTCAATCGCAACTATGTTACCAAGCGAATAGAGCAGTTAGAATTTGCCGATCAAAGCACTTTAAATCAACAAGCATTGCGCTCCACATACAATAATAATTTTGTTTGTTCTTCAACGCAGCAGTATGCCAGTTATTTGACGGCGGCCTGTAAACACTCGATTCTGAACCAGACAATCTTGCGATTAATATTGTGAGCAATGGTCCATGTAGGCATCCAAGACTCCGACCCTGACCACCGGATTCAATTGGACGCCTCTTATGACTAGCATAAGTTGTTGGGGATCTATTGTAACCCGAAACGCCCCGGGGGTTAAAATTATTACATTGTCTTGTCAGAATAACTGTTTCTCCTCGCATCATATACCACCACCCCAAACCCACTACTTAATGACCTATTAATCAAAGTATTTGGACGACAGCCTTTAATGTGAGAGAGACTAAATATGTTTTTTTCATTTCGTTTGTAAGCATGTGTGTCCAAGATGTCTGGTTGTGAGACAGGACACAGCTGAAGATCCATCTTATTCTGATAACAGACTCACTTAAAGAATCTCGCTGTGTCGTTTGTATCATCATGGGAATGGATTTATATGTGTGATTACATTATATTTTCCAAACGTAATGTCCTTTCTGCTCCATGGTCTATGGCTGATTGAGTCAAGTTAGATAAAGGAGACCAGTGAGACTGCCTCATCTGTTTCATATTTAGATTTATGCATAAGATTCAGAGGGACAATACACTCTCTGTATGACAAAAGGGATGACATCAACTTTCCAATAGTCAACTTTACCTTCATGTCGAGCAATATTCCAGCAGCACAAGCCTTTGGTGTTTACATTTGATAACTTTTGAGGTACAGTCGAGTAAGCTCTTTCTACCAACATTTCAAAGAGCGTCATACGACTTTGTTGTTCTGAAGTTGTTTGGTATAGCTTTCAACATTCAAGGCCTCGTTAAAGCTTTCAAAGTTTTATGGTGGACATGTGGAGAACACTTGCAAATTTGACGAATCAGTGACTAAATGATGTCTGACGGAGTTCTTTATTTTGACTTGTACCACATGTTCCCTTGTTTGTTCAGGTGAACTACTGACTTGCCTTTGCATGTATTTGTGAAGGGTACCACCGGCGGGTCAGGATACGAACACCTGCTACCATCACTATTTGATAGTCATTTATAAACAAATGATCATGATATAGTCGGAATCGTACAATGGACTTTCAACAAAGATTTCTTATGAATTAAGAAAGGGTCTTGTCGCTATTATTGCCATAAGTTATCTTAATAATTGTCTTGCCAGTTTGCTTTTCTTCAGGGCATTATCGATATAGAGCATTGCGAACAATGGAAAATATGTTCTGTGTACTGAAAATGAACTCAATGCGTTAAATACAGAACACAACTGTGAAAGGTGTTAGCATATACATTATATGAAAGTTACGAAAGGACTGCAGAACCTTTTGACATTCCGGAGTGTACGGACAAACATTGGTGATATTCTATTTCACATTATACCAATGGCTGTTTGAAATCAGATGAAGTGAAGTGAAGTGATTATGACCTCTGCTCTATAATAGACCTCATGACAAGGTTTAAATTTGTATAATATGACCCACGGGACATGGAATGCAGTCTTTAGAAAGAAGTAAATGCTTGTTTTCAGTTTTTCATAGTAATTTGCATACACATACACGACGTTTGAGTAACTGTTTGGAATATTGGGTTTAACCTTCAGTTGTGGCACGCACTACATCAGTTGTGTAAATATCTGGGAGAAGGTGTCCTAAGTTGGTCCCAATGTGAATAAAACATGTTTAAATCAACGGCGACATTGCCAATATCTGACTGCTAGCTATGAATATATATATAATATCATAATTAGGGCATAATAGGAAGTTAACGCCAACATACAAACTAATACTACAATAGCTATAAACGTTTGTGGATAAGAACCCCCACCAGGTATCATGTTGATTTCTACAAAAAATCCTGGCTGGTGTGAAAGATTGAAGCCACTGTTTGTTCTCATCATCGAGTACCTGGATTTTGTACAGTATGGAAATTACTCTCAGTATGTATCGACCACCTGTGAGAGAAAACTGTGTGTGAATATATTGTCCGCCATGTGAAGTCCCAAACTTACAAATTGCTGCAATTATTCCAAGCAGTGTTTTATATAGCCTACAAACTGTCTACAAATATAATACGTCGTATCGATAGATTTACACAAATTCATGGCCAGACGGCTACTTTTTTACAAACCACGCAATCATGACATACACAGGTGCACATGCTACCTAACTATATAACATGGTCTTAAATTGCATGATAAAAATACATAATAAATGGATTACAATGCAATTGCAAGTGCTTTTCGGATTGTGTGATATTAGATATTATAACTTAAAACAACCTTCTTCAGTGAAAAATAACTATAGTTCTGCCGAGGTAAACATCGTGTGTAATTGATATACAGGAAAGTCTTGTGAACTCCAAGAACCACATGAGATGTATCGACTTATGCGGAGTTCGAGATTAGCAGCGTCGTGGAAGTTCACATGGATATCGGCAGTGTCGAGAAGACAAGGCGAGCGAGGTATCAGGATTTGTGACGCCAGAGGTGAATATGGATACAGCGTAAATTGATAAAACTATTATTTAGTTTGATTCAGACCGTTGGGTTGGCCATAACACCCATCAACATCGAATAACGCATCGTATATATATCACATATATGTGCAGTCGAGGCCGTATTGTTCCCAGTGAAAGTGTCCAGAATTGCTTAAGATATGAATTTTGGTGTGTCCCAAACAAGGTAGAGTTTCACCATGTTTACTTCACTACTCAGCATGTTTACATCACTACTCAATGTTTACTTCACGGAGCTCATTTTACTTTTGCAAATACGATAAAATGAAAGTCGAAACAACATGTATCTGTTCCCTACGGCGTCATGACAACAGCAAAGGCATATTTCCTAAAGCACATAGTACGAAGACAATTTTCTACACCAAATAGGTTAAAATGCAACAGCAATCGAAGACAGAGTCGGTAGCTCGGTATAACGTGTGGCGAAATAGCTGTGAAGTAATATGCATGGACAAATGAAATTCAATGATATCACCAGGTATTCACGATTCAAGTATGTCACATTCACACAATGTGCATGAAGTAAGTATTTATTACTTGACTCACTACTCCTGTCATGCACACAAACCAGACAATCTAGTGATCGATGAAGCAGTCCAGTGACACGTGTGGGTCATATGTAGGTAAAAGCGACAAAACGCTTTCCATAATCCAAAGCAATATCTTCTAAAAGCAGAGTCTAGTGTACGATTTGGAGTGTATCATGAGCACATGAATCAGTATCAAAAAGTGATGATACCAGATGTTCGCGAAAAGGTGAGGAAACCGTAAACTGGTAAAACACAAAGACGAGAATTGTGCTGGTGTGAATCAGGGAGTCGAACCAACGATCGGTTGATCCTGACGCGGTTAAAGGACAAAATGATATCCGACGGCACCTTTATGCCAAACAGCATCTCATCCTAATGCGACGTGGTATAAAACCGGTCTAATGGTACCCCATATGTGCATTATCAGAGGCAACCCCGTCTGTGTAATCGATATATCATCTGCTCGGAGTGCGAAAGGTCGATGGTACGATACCCCCACACAGTACTTGTTGTTACCCTGCCTGGTACTCGGTATTAACTGACTGGTCGTCTCGTAGTCTTCCCGGGGTATCCATGTTAAACTGCAGCATGGTACAAACACACACACACGCACGCACGCACGCACGCACGCACGCACGCACGCACGCACGCACGCACGCACGCACGCACGCACGCACGCTGAGCATTCTTGTCCTGAATGTACTGAAGCAAGTTGTATTGTTCGTCTCATTTAACAGTAAAAACACACGGCCCCAACGAAAATGGAAGGTATAGCATATATCCAATTTGTCATTTCACTCATTGTGAACGTTTGTTTATGTTTTAGATTAGTAACAAGATGAATTTTTTGGTCAATGGCTAGCAAACTGACATGAAGTGCTTACTCACTTTTTCATAGAAGCGCATGTTTTTATTATGTACGCGTACAATGAAAGTTGTAAATGACCTAATCCCAGCAAGTATGTGAACTGGGTATCCCTAAACCTTAAAAACAGATATTTTGTCAACATACATGTTATCAAAAAGCAAATGGAAATTATCCATTAAAATGTCTTGTTATTTGCTGCCCACAATCTGTTTACTGCATACAAATCGCCATCGATAGATTGTAATCTCTACATTACACCATTTCACGTTCAATTCCCAGCCCACGGCTCTATCCAACTGTCATATCAGTGTCAATCAGACTACGAATCAACTCGGACAAAATCTGAAGTCACCAGCACAGCTAGCATGGCATGGGGCGGGACCAAAGCCAGGCTGTCCTCGCCTACAGACCAAATACCATCACCCAGTGAGCAGTGGCCGATCGGCATCCTTTGCTCAGTCAATAAACGGCCTTCGTTGGTCTGAAAATTACGTTCTCGTGGCAATCTCGCGAGAACGGTCCACGCTGGCTTATTGTCTAGCATGATGCTGTGATCTATCTCGACAATAGCACTTCATCTTCATTGTAATCTGTTGTAAGGCCAGTCTCTTGGTACCAGAAACTTATGTTCAGCTGCGATGGCGAAAGTTCCGTTAAACGAAAGATGTTTCTCCGTGGAGATTGTAGGTAAGTTGTACTTTCTGGTCTAAATACCATGAATGAAACCTGAAATTGTAGTTGTAAAGTCGGTATATTCGTTTCGTTATATGTAGATGAAATAGCAGTCATAGAACTCTAGGTTTCGTACATGCATGCCTCTAATCACAATGTTTTCAAAAAAGAAAATAGTGGTGCAAATAATGACAGGATATATTTATGTAACCAATATAGATCAGACTATTTTCGAAGACAAATTATGAGTTCATTATCCTGTTTACTATCAATTTTGATATTACAGTGACGCTTTAACCTTTTACCTATCCGCAGTTAGAATGTGTGATGGCTTTACATTGAAACAAGATATTCCACTTCCTATTGCATTTGTCATGTGCACCACATAACGCATCATATGTTGGTTTTGGAGTGTGTCTATGATAGTAAATGGTTTCCACCTCAAATCTGAATGGAAAGGAAAGTGTTGTCAAGGATTTAAAGAGGCGCATGTCCAAATAATAAGCATCAATCTGTAATTGTCTATCAACTGGTATTATACGTCGGCATGTAAATAAATCAGGCAAACCACGACTGGATGGTTACTGAGGCTTGATAGCGAACAACCAAGCACCCAATCCTCAATAGAAGACTCTGACAAGCAAAGGGAACCTAATTCTGTTTGATATTTAACCTTCAAATGAAGCAGTTCGGAATTTGTATTCAAATTTGCACCTGTTACTAGTACTGACGTGCTCGATCATGACATGTCGTACGGAACCTTTAACCATTTCTAGCCTGGATTGATCACGCTAGTTGGTTTTAACTAATATATTACTAGACATGCCATCTAAAGAAGGATACTGGATAATGTAGCTGTGGTTATTTCTGGAGCTGACCGAATTTTTAATACTTAAGTCGGCCAGGGTAACGTAAGTGAAGTAAGTGTATGTATGTATGTATGTATGTATGTATGTATGTATGTATGTATGTATGTATGTATGTATGTATGTATGTATGTATGTATGTATGTATGTATGTATGTATGTATGTATTGTGAACAATATATACATTTATAGACATGAAAGTGTTAAAAGAAATGAGAAAATGCTGCATGCGGAAGTTTATAACGGCATATAATACACGGAAATACCTTTATTAATTACCACACATTTTGACCTGTTTAGGCTGAATGTCAAGCTTGCCATACATGTCAAATGGATAATCATCAATGAATGTTTTTTGAAAAGACAAGTCTCTATATGACAAGGAAGGGTGGACTGTTGTACCATTCCACCTTGAGCCTGATACCTAGAATCTGTGTTTCTTTTGCTATGACCGCCGCGAATATTTGCAAGATCACTGTTGCGGTGTGAAGCAATAATCACTCACTCCCGTTGCTACGAAGAGGATGCATGAGTGATACGGTATTCTGACGACACAATTGACGACTTATGTGTAACACGCTAGTTTAGTCAATTGCTACCTGGCTAAAATACACCAGTGGTACAGATCAATGACCTCAACACGTGTATATGTTTCATGAACTGAATGCCAGTTATTGATAAAAGATTGTATAGTTTACCGGTCTGCAATGATATGAATCTGGTATCGCTTTACTTGGCTACATCTTTTATAAAAAAACGTTTAGCACATAACACTATGTATATACAGATAGATATTGATGGATAATGATGTGTTTTCGTGTAAAAGGCTTTTGGCTTTCTGAAGTTCTTTACAAAAAGTAATAATGAGAAATAATGTGACAAGGCTACCGTGTATCGTAAGTGTTCATTTACTCTATTTATCTGGACAACAGTCGGTGGCTGGACCACAGGATGGTGTCTTGCACGTCTATTTTCTCTTTGATCTTGTATATATTGTCCATAGGCCACGGATATCACTTATAAATTGTGATTCACCCACGTTGCGTTCTACATTTTCCAAAAAACATTTGTAAAATAAAGAATGAGTAAACCTAATAGCGAAGACACGGAATAAATGTTCGGTGTTTTTTTCTGAGTTCGTACCCATTTTTCCAAACATGCCATCAATTTGGGCATTTGAAAGTTCGATGACAATTTATGTGAAGACTTGGAGACAGTTAACGAGGTAGCCCAATAGAACATCCGGCAGAAATATAACCTGTGACCATTCAAGTTATGTGCCTGTCAGCACCACGTACGGAATGTATAGGTTGTAAATGGAAATCTTGCTGGTGTTTCAAAGCTCACTGGAAGTCCTTATTCATTCACCAAGACCTCGCACACAGCTAAAATGACAAGAATGTTTTTCAAGTGTCAGATTTCGGTCAAAAAGACATTCGTCCAGACTACATGTTTGTGTAACTATAAGGGTTCCTTATCGTAAGTTGTTTTCATTTGTCGATACCCATATATCTCATGCATTAACGTAGAAAAGGGTCGTTAAATTCAGTTTGCAACTGAAATTTCTCACTTATCACACAATGACATTCTTCCCGGCCGAGAACGCAACGAATATGTTGCGCGCTGCAATAAACATCGAAAGAGTACTTTTCTTTCCAAATCCTGTTCCAAGCGCCCAATTTTACCATATGTAAAAGATGTTTATTTTTTTCACACTGTTGCACACGTGCTTTCTTTACATACCTCTTCCTTGAGTGGCCATTGTTTAACGCCAGTTTCCTTGTACATATACAATAGAGAGGAACGCATAAAGCTTTTAGATTTGTTATCCAATGTCCCAAATCAATTGAAACTGTTTTCTTAAACAAGCGTTCTTAAAGTCTGACATGTTTAATCCTTATATAGTGAATGACACATCTCAATGTGTCCAAATAGAATATCCATATGATAATATTAGATAAAGCCTTATCTTACCCTTCCATTAGATTGATCGATGAGAGGAACATGTCAGCATAGGATAAAGTGACGGGGTCAACTAGAACGTCCTACATAGTGACGTCAATTTTGTTTGAGATTTGGAGATCGATAACCCCGACGTTGCATTACTTTGGTACAGGTTATTAACTACATATATGTTTGTTGCTTAACGCCGCACTCAGCAATTTTCCAGCTATGTGGCGGCAGTCTGCAAATAATCGAGTCTGGACCAGACAACCCAGTGAATGATATCGTGGGCATCGATCTACGCAGTTGGGATACGATGACATGCATCAACCAAGTCAGCGAACCTGACCACCTCTTACGACAAGCATAGGTACCTCTAACGACAAGCATGGGCTGCTGAAGACCTATTCTTAGCTGGATCTTCACGGGTATATGCACTGTACAGTAGATATTATGAGTGCGTACGTATATGTCATGAGTAGCCTATCCATCCCAAAATTGACCAGAAGCTGTCCGAAACTATGCACACCTAATGACCACCATGGCTTCGTTTATTTCGGTATCTTCTCATATTATACGCAACAGCAAAAGTTCCTGTGACACCAATATTTAGTGTATTTTTCAAACAAGTAAAGTTTGGTTTTCAATATCGTAGTACATGTATGGAATCAAGTCACATAAACGCAACTGCTGCAGAAAAGCATGCATTCCATGCAAAAGTTGACTTTTATGCGAACCCCATGCATTTCACTACCCAAGAACGGGTATAAAAACATGTGCGTTAACTGGATTCCATATGCATTGTTTAGCATCATTGCTGACAACAACCACTCAGAAAAACAACAAAATTACACAGATATTCAACATTACGAAATGTCACGCCTGTCCGAAAATGATCGTCTGCGAGCCATTGGTATGCTTGAAGCAGGATTGAGTCAACGTGATGTTGCAAGACAATTTAACTTCCACAGAAACACCGTTTGGTGTTTATGGCAACGTTGGAAACAGACGAATGCAGTCAGAGACTATCCTCTGAGTGGCAGGCCACGCGTAACCAATAATCGACAAGACAACTGGATTCGAACAAAACACCTACGAAATCGATTCCAGCCAGCAAGTGACTGCAAGAAGCATCCCTGGCCTTCGACGAATATCTTCACAAACCGTACGTCGTCGCCTCAGATGTGCAGGGATTGTCGCCAGAAGACCCACCAGACGTCCCATTTTGACAGGAAACCACCGTCAAGCACGCCTACAGTTGTGCAGATCGGCGAGATGGATCGGCGCCTTCGACGTCAACCACGTGTTCCACAGACACTCCAGGAACCTCGAAACATGCTCCTGCAGATATGGACAGATACCCCACACCACTTTGTGCGACGCCTGGTCAATTCCATGAGACGAAGATGTGTTGCCTGCATCGCAACCAGAGGTGGACACACACTATATTGATTTGTAAATTGACATTTTGGCAGGTTCATGTTTTTTTATGAAATCACGCATTTTCTGGAGTCAGTATGGCAAATTAAACCATTTGAACACTTAGAGGAGTCTTTTATCTGTTGCAAACCGAAATTGTTTTAGATTTGGTAAAAAACATAACTTTGCATTAAATCTTATTCAATGTCACAGGAACTTTTGTTGTTCAGTATAGATTCTGAGCATATGAAACAGGTCAAAATGAGCGTCAACATTACGGGTGAGTTACGGAAATTCTTTCACAGAAGGATCCGATTGTCGTGGACCTGATTTTAAGATTCTTTTCAGTACCATACCAGTGCTTTATATAATGTGCCTTAACTTCTTAGGCTTACTCTGGCATGTATATAGTTTAGCTGAATTGCCGTGACACAACTGGAAGATATTCCACAAGTCCATTTGGCTCGTCGGTTTTACCAATTTAATGTTTTCTTTCAATCGATTATGATTTTAGTTGTTGATTATTGCGTTAGTTTCGCTGTTCCACTTATATTGTGCGCAGCAACATAAACATGAAACACTTTAAACAAAGTTACGGAGTTGCCGGTGTCGTGATTGTCCATATGTACGCCCTCCAGTGAGACACGTGGTGCTAGGCAACATGTCCTATTCCTCATGTAGACATTTACCTTGTGAAATATTTTGAGGGACGTAGGAGAAATACAGTTCTCAAACCCGCGGCATCGAACTTTGATATTCATAACTTTGATTTGCGTGCTTTTGTAC